CGCACGACCCTACTCGCAATATAATATCACGTATAAAAAGAAAGTAAAGAACGAATGTAACAAAGAGTTGTATCTCGTCGAGACCGTACAGCTCTTGATCGAACGGACCTTCGAATCCGTTTGCCCCTGGAACGAGACGACTTCTGATGACGATGCGCCCGAGTCGCATCTACGCTTTTTTCATTTTCTCCTCTCCTTCGTGTCGTCTTCTTCCCCTTCTTCTTCCTCCTCTTCTTCTTTTTCCTTCTCCTCCTCTTGTCTTTTCTTCTTGTTTTTCTATTTTTTTTTTATCACGTTTCCTCCTACACAATCGTTATACTCGCGAACGTTATAAATATTATATAATTACGCGCATATACGTACGGTGCGTACGTATACAATTATAGTGTTTCGCGCGCGCGAACGCGCGTCGTCGAGCTCTCAACAGTGCGCTCATCGTGCGAACTAATGAGTTGCGCTTGCAGTCACTAGACTCCGTGTCGTTATTATTATTATTATTATTATTATTATTATTATTATTATTATTATTATCGCTAGAGTCGGTACTTTAATCGTTAGCATTATATATTAATTACGTTAGAGCTGTCGATCAACGCGCTACATGAACTGTCGCCACACGTCATCGCGCACCCGGGCGACGACGCGCCGGCTTCTCTACGCGTCGTGTACGCCCGGTCGCGCGTGACCGTACATTACATTTCGTCTTGAGCTGAGAACATTCAAGTGCCGCGACGCGAGGAGGAACACATCTGCGTGTCATCCACCTCCGCGGACGCGACAAAACGCACACGTATATATTACGCTATTTTAAATAATAATCAGTCCTTGACCCCTCGCCTCGACTTTCGTCCGTTTCTTAGACTCGTCTCTTTGTATTTCTTGTTCTTCTCCCTCTGTTTCTCCCTTCGTCTCTCTCTTTCTTTCTTCCTTTCTCGTAAGAATGATCGTCGAATGCCGAATGTTCGAAGTGATGTAGCTTGTTAATTTTCTTTTTTTTGTTGTTTTTGGTATTTTCCATCGTAGTCTTCGTGTAGGCCAACGAAGTTTTCAGCGCCTCTCCGGACGATCGAGTGTTAGAATCTGCTTTCCCGTTTGCTCGACCTCGCCGCAAATTTTTGCTCTTGTATTCAGCCGTCGACTGTCTCGTCTCTTAGGTGGTTTCGAAGGTGTACTCTTGAGGCCCTTGCATGGAAAACCGATCGCGCTCCGGTCGCGCGGAACGCCTGTCTCTTCGGCTAGCCTCTTCGCGACTCAACGTTGTTTCTCTTACTTCAACCTCGTCCTCGCATTCGGTAACTTTATAAAATCGCAGATAATGGATATTAGAAAATAATCTCTCCTGTCGTGAAAAGCTGCACAACAACGCGAGTTCACGCGTCTCGCGCGACGCCGCGAATCGCCATAATAAGACCAGAGCGCGTCGGTTATGTAGAATGGAAACCGAACGTCCAAATACCTGGTGCGGTATCATTAACGACGGTCTCCGGAAGCTACAATCACACGGTGGTGACGTATTCGCGCAGTTCCGGCGACTCGTCCTCGAACCAGGGGTCGTCGTACTTGGGTACCTCCTCGCTGCGAGCTCTACCGGGCGCTCTTGGGCGCTCACGAGGACGCATACGGGGTCCCTCTTCGCTCAACGACCTCTTAGTAGCGTCGATCGGTACCGGTACCTCCAACAAAGCCTTGGATCTCATTAGCTGGGGCCTCTGCCGCCTTGGTTCCTCGCTGGCGGCGCGTACGATCACCGGCGGCGGCGCCGGCGCCGGCGCCGTCGCCTGTGGCAGTCTGTCCTCCAGGGGATTAGTGGTGGGCACCATTGTTTTCGCCCTAAACGCACCTTTCCGAGTAAGTCGAGGCGCTTGCTTGCTCGGCCTGCGCTCCGACGGCGAGTACCTCGACGGTGATTCCGGCTGCGGCGCGATGCTCTTTCGCTTGCTGGTAGGCGTAGCAGGCACCATCGGCGACCATACCGGTGGCGACAGGTCCTCCGGCGTGGTGACCTTCTTCGGTGGCGTCTTCTCCGGCGACTCGTCTTTCCAGCCACCTTGATAGAGCGGGAACGGCGCCACCATATTGAGCATTCTCCATCGGAATTGCTCGTCGTCACTCTTACGCGAGGGTGTCGCGACCGGTGGCGGGCAGTGCGTAGGCGTGACGTTATGGAAAGGCGACCATTTTTTGTCGTCAATCACCTCGACCGGGATGTCGCTTGGCGACTCGTCGTACGGCGTCCACTTGATTTCGCTGATGTGTTTTTGCTCACGTTTCTTGATCCCAATTGTCGGTAACGGCGACGAGTCCTCGTATGGCGCCCATTTGGTGCTCGTGATGGTGATCTCCGGCGAGATTAGCCGTCGCACGATTCTATTCTCCAACTTGTTTACCTGCCGCGGGTCCGGCTCCGGCGACATGCTCCTCCGTATACTATACTTGGGCCGCTCGCGCAAACTCTTGCTCTTCGTCTCATCTTGGCTGCGGTACCATTTCGGCGCCTTCTTCTCGGCAGGCAGAGAAACGTGCGGCTTCATCGCCCATCTTGCTCGTATCGGCTTCTTGCTCTCCCCAATAGGACTGATGACCTTCTCTTTCTCTTTGAGACCCCATTTCCTTGAGCTCTCGCTTCTCACTTGAGCGGAACGCTCCAGCTTGGGTCTTTCCCTGGACTTTTCGATTCTGATGGGTTTCGGTTGCTCGCTGGCTTGTCTCTTCATCTCTGGCTTTTCCCACGGCGCGGCTGATTCCTCGGGTGTTAGCGACTTGGAGTAGTACAGTCTTCTTTCTTCTTTCTGTGGCGCCGGTTTCTCCGGTTCTTCGATCACTTTCGGTTCCAGCGCTGGCGCCGGCACAGGTGACGCCGGTGCCGGTGTCTTCACCTTGGGACAAGTGCATCTGGGTTTCGGATTCGGCATCACGTCCGGCACTTGTAGCCACCTGGCTTCTCTCGCGAATCTCGTGTCGTCGCTGCTATGCTTCCTTAGGTCGTGCATCGGTGTCAGCACATGGTCCGGTCTGACCGACCACTTGTCCGTCTCCGCGCTGTGGTGCTTCCTGAGGTCGCCGCGTTGCGTACCCTCCGGCTTCTTCTCCTCCGGGGTCAGGCTGTGGCAGCTGCATCTCGTCTTCCTCGCGAGATCTAGGTCGGTACTCGAGGTATGGAGCTCCCAACGGAACTCTGTACCTTCGCTGGTACGCCTCCTCAAATCCCAGATCGCGTCGTCGGGCGACAGGAAGCTGCTCGTAGCCCATCTCACTTCGGTACTGCGAATCTTCCGGAGGTCACCGCGCTCTCTGGTACCGGCCACGTCGACTTCCTCGCAGCTGCAGAGTCTCGTCGGCGTTCTCTGCGATTCAAGTGGCGCTGGCTCGATGGCGTCCAGGTCCTCGATCATCCATGAGATCTCCTCACGCCGCCGTCGGCCGCACGACGGACAAAATAAGTCGTCGTGGCGGCTAGACCGCGGCTGCTGAGACGACGCCGCTGGCGGCGGCGGCTGCTGCTGCTGGCGAGGTAACGTCGAAGCCGAAGTCGATGCGGTGGGGTCAAGCTGCGAGAGCGGCTCCTCGTCGTCGCGACGGCCATCGTCAGAGCGTCGTGACGTCGCAGCCGTGCCTGGCGATGCGCACCAGCAGGTGTGTGTAGCTCCGTCAAGCTGCCTTGGTGGGTACCGCGACTCCGGAGACGACGAGGCTCCGTTCGAGGCCGCTACCAGTCAGACTACCACGCTCGCTGGCACCACAGGCCTATACGAATTCAGATTAGAGAGAGCGCAAAAACTTGGTATGAATGAGAACATTTAGATCGTGCGTAGCACATTTATTGCCTTATCTTCCAGAAATAAACAAATACTTTTAATTTTATCGATACGCGAGATAAAAGAATGTGAAATTTTTTGTTTATTTTTTGCTAATTTATCGATCCAAAATGATGTAAGCGATTCAATGTACGATTGAATGCTCAGACACAAATAGTCGGATTTGCTAAATTAGTGAAATATAAATTATATTTTTTTATGATTTTTTTATGACGTTATGTCAGTCGTATGGAAATCATATTGGTTTCGTTAACAAAGTCTTAAGAACAACGGGATGTACCTTAAGCTCGGTGAAGATCTCTGTGAAGAATCCGGGCTCACTGTTGATTCGCAGCATTTCGGAGCTAAGTCGATTAACGATCAGGAGGCATCGGTCCCAGAACTTGTCCTTGCTGTCCTCGATGAGGAACGGCTTGAGCGGGTAACTAATCTCGTTGCCCATATAACTGTAGCTCAGATAGAGACACGTTAGTACTGTTGCCTGGAGCTCTTTCTCGGATGCCTCATCTCCATCGACGAGCTCTTTCACCAACATGTACACGAACACTACGTTGGCAGGGTTTATAAAAGGGACGTCCTGAAAAAAAACGTAGAAATGTAGACGTGCAATTAAGACCTTATGTCGTTAGCTTTTTTTATACTAATATTTTTATTCGTGTCTTTTCATCGGGATAACTCGTCGTTATCGCATTTGCGAATTTTAATAGAATTATATAAAAAAAGAAAGAATTGAGATTAATATTTAAATTAAATTTTGTGCGCCGAAATTCCCCGTGTCGAGATTTTGGTTCTACATTGATCTGTTTTATCGGATTGATAGCTTTCATCGGATTTAAAATAGCGATGAAAAATTTCGAAGTACAATCACACAATCTATTGTACTTTGTTACAAAAGATTACTTGCTATCATCTTTTTGAGTTTAAGAAAGAGCTTGTTTAAACATTATTTAATATTCGATTTTTTTCTCTTTGTATCTCAACAATTTGTATTCAATTTTTATCTTTAATTTTAACAAGCAATATACACTGAGAGAAAATGTTTGAAAATTTACATGTGTTTTTATTTATTTTATTTATTTATTTGTAAAGTTATTTTATTTATTTATAAAGTTTATTTCTGTAAATAAACTTTATATCCTAAAAATAAATGTTTAAGAATTTTTTCTTAGTGTATCAATCGAAGCTGCGAGCAACACAATGTGTTTCGATACGTATATAACTACGTATGTGTAATTTGATAATTCATTACCTCGTAGGTTCGGAATATTTTGAAAGAACATTGATTCTGTGGTGATTTATCGATCACCGAATATGTTGGTTTTTATTGTTGGGCGATAACGACACTAGACTGGCGGCAGATGACTTTGTCCTTTTCAATTATTTTTGTATTCTCGCGGCCGACGTGTCCGCGGCGTGAAGTGTGTGTATATCAGTGCGTTGTTTACATCTTTTATTGGGTATTTAATATCTTTGTCGTTTACGGAAATATCTAGTCACGCTCTCGTCGGCGTCGTGAGAGCACATGTTTCTTTAATTGAATCGTATTTACGCGAGTATCAACGCGAGTGTCCGGAATCGCGAGAAAGTTTCAACACAGAATACAGGACGTTAGAACACACGGTCAGTAATATATTGCACGTTTTCAATGTCTAGTAATTTATTATGTAGAATATTTAATGAATTTCGCAGTAATAAATACATAGTCGAGTCAAAAATTAGAATCTATTAAAAGATCCATTATTTATATAATAAATAATAATTTCATGAAAAATAAGGTGACCAGATTTCCCAGCCCTGAATTCGGGACATTTCATAAATGTGTGAAGCGAGGGGAGGAGGATAAAGATTCGAAAATGATTTGACAATTATTGAAAATGATGACAAATCGGTGTCCCGGATAGTACTCGAAAAAATTCGGGACAAAGGGTAAAAAATTGGGACGTCTAGTCACCTTACCTGTATGTGTCGAAAAGGGAAGAGATTATTCCGTAATAATGTACTATGGATATATATCGTAAATATGTTCTGACGACCGCACGTTGTTGTTTTTGGCACTCTAATACTTTTTTCCGCAGGAGTCACAGGACAAGCGGAGACATATGGAATACGGAGCGTTGTGTCCATGGCAGTTGCATGAGAAGATCGCAGACGCGCGCGCTATCAATCACGTACACCAAAAGTTCATTAGCGCGCCGAAAGTGCGGAAGGTGCATGAATGTAAACGCGCCAGTGATACGAACGAGGTCGCGCGTCTACAACGACGCGATCTATGACGGATGCCTTAACCAATCGCGTTCGTTTCGCACTACGAGGTTGTTATCGTGGTTATTCAATCTAGGCGTTGGTAATGAATCGCGCGAAATGCTCGATCTTTTCGCGCCAAGCAGCAGCCATGGGCATACATCGATTCACATCGCTTCGCGTTTCTCGCGTCTTTTATTCGTCGAAAGTGCGTCTCGCGCATTAATAAGTCTCGGGAGTGTCGAGAATAGCGATGTGCGATCGCCGGGGCATATTGTGAAGACATCATTTGTAAATAATCTTCCCGTTTCTCCTCGCGGTATATGCGGCCGGTGCTTGTCGCGACGTGTCGCGCCGACGTTTCATTTGCTAATAATATCGACTCGCTCAAGTAGCAATAGAATCGGGCGATCGTCGAATTTATTGAACGGGAATTAGAAATGCGATGACAATCAAAAAGAAAGAGAGAGAGATGCGGAATATTCGGGCGGTTGCGTCAGCTTGTTAGGAAAAGAGATACGAATATAGAAATAAATCTCGAGAATGTCTAGAATAGCGATGTGCGATCGCCAGGGCGTATCGTGAAGACGTTATTTGTAAGTAATCTTCTCGTTTCTCCTCGCAGTATATGTAAGGTGATCAGATTTCATAGCCCTGAATTCGGGACACTTCATAAATGTGTGAAGGGGGGGAGGGAAGTAAAAAGATCCGAAAATTATTTGAAAATAATTGAAAATGATGATAAATCGGTGTCCCGAATAGCACTCGAAAAAAATCGGGACGTCTGGTCACCTTATGAAAAAGTGATAGAGAGAGAGAGAGAGAGAGAGAGAGAAAGAGAGAGAGGAAAAAGAGAGAAAGAGAGAATCTTTGATTATTAATTAATCTATTTATTTTATACATTAAGTTTTATAAATGCAGCCTCATTTCCTAGCATAGTAATATTTGAAATTTTATGTCTCAAGTACATCATTTTTAAATATTCTTTATTTTTTCTTTTATTCTATTTAAAAAGAATTATCTACTATTTGAAAAATCAGCAATTATTTTTTAATAAACATTTCAAGGTAGGACAACAGCCTTTGTTACTTTAGTGTTATATCTCGAGATTTTCTATTCATTTTCTATTCATTCTTTTCAAGTTTAACAGAATTGCAGTATTAATATAGTATTAATTTTAAGTTGGGTTCTTTCTTTCTCTTATAGCGAATTCGGTAGCTTGCACTAGTGCGCATTGAGTGCGCGCTAAAGCTTGTTTATAGTACATTCTTATATTTAAGATCGTGTCTTAAATACATATTTAAAAATATTTTAGCTAATAAAATGACTCGTACGGATGTTATACATATCATATTACTGGTTAAAAATATTTGAGAATTTATTTAAGACAATCTTTAAATATATTAACATACTATAAACGAGTCTTAGTGCGCATTCAGTGCGCACTAGTGCAAACAACCGAATTCGCTATTAGTTTCTCTTTCTATATAAGAAATACCAGTAGTCTATCTTAGACGACGATGAACGATAAGAGTGAAGTTCGTGACGACTCGCAATTACGAAAAAGCAAAGGAAAGGTTGCACAGGTGTCTGTTGGGTCACTTGAGTAGATCGTACCGTTGAGATATTCGTCTAAACTTGCACTTAGACTATACTGACACGTGTGCGACGTGACTTTTAACTGAATTTGAATTAATTTTCGAGGCGAGTGTCTGCGTATATCGTTATTAAAAACATGAACACGCATTCCCGTAGACTTTAGATGTATACATATGTGTCTTCGCACACTGTTAAGGCGCGTCTGTGCATATGTGTGTCCATCAATATAAATAATAACGTAGCAGGCATGTATCGGACGTAAGCGCTTCGGATGCAAATATAGTTGCACAGATGTTAATTAGTGCGGATACACATATAACGAGAATACGTCGTATAAATAGAGAATCTATTTATAACTGACAAGACCTCCGTTAGCCATGAAACATAAAAGTAAATGTGCATTCGAGTAAATCTATATATACAACTACAATATCAATTTGTTGCGCGTAACGCAATTTTATAAAAAGAAAAGAAACGTGATCCCTGCGTATACGCACCTTATAGATACGTAATAAAAATGACGTGATTTCCCGGTGACACTATATTGAGAATAGCGAAAAAATCTACACGTGTCTCTTTAAGTCGATGAGTCTACTAGCACGCACGTTGTTGCGTATAGAAACTCTGCGAACGTCATGAGAGGGAAAAATTATAGGTGTTATTATACTGAGGAAAGAATATTTAAGTAATAATAAATATTTATTCGGTGAGCACTAATAACATACATACTTAAGTCTAAATTTTTTCATTTAAATAAAATAAACAATTGTTT